GGGGTCTTGCAGCAGAAGGTTTTAGGGAGGGACGTTTAGTTGGGTCGATTAGGGAGGTCGAACTTGTGATGATCTTGTTGGTTTTCATCGCTAGGCTATTGGTAGGGTCATTTTTAATTTTTGAGTAACTTCCATCGTTGAGCAGATTCTGGATTTTGTTGTTGTATGAATCTTTATCCATAATTACAGTAGCGTTGCCTTTATCGGCTGTCCCTTGCTTTTGTCGATTTATTACTAATACACCCCAATGATCCGATCGAAACTAGGGATCCGATCGAAATTAGGGATTTTGATCGGATCAGTGCCACCCCCCCCCCCCCCACTGGCTCCGCCAGTGGTTCTTTGTGTGTGCATACCAGTTGGTGTTTGATTTGGTGGCGCGTTTTCATTTCATAGCACAGCAGTATTAACACGTGTGTGTGTGTTGTTGTATGACACGGTAGTTTACTCGTTACACTTATTCTCACGTGGTTAACTTAACAGGTGTTGCTGCAGTCACAGAGGCTTTCGCGTAGTTTACCAGCGATCCTGCATGCAGCCACATGCATGTGACATGTCTACGAAAACAAATGTAATGGCTCGCGTTTTTTTTCTGAGTGCTAAATGCACGTGTCTTTTATGTCATTGGTAGGTGCTCGTCCACAGCACTTTCCCGAATAGCGTGTCCATGGCTACATACACCACAGATATTTCCTTTTGTATTCGTCACCGGGAGTGTATTGGTGAGCACACTGCACTATAGTTCATAGTTCATTTATTTGGTATAGCCCTGTGAGCCATTCGGCTCTTGAATCGGGTGCAACCGCAACAAACAAAAACATGAACAAGAAAACATCTTAAAGTGACTATGTGACTGTGCAAACAGAAAATCCAGGAAGAAAACATCAAAATATTCCTGAAATAGCACCGTACACCAACGCTGTGTGCAAAAATCCCAGTGGGATGCAAGTCAAATAACAACAACAACCACAAGACAACTAAGATTAAGGCCATCAGTCTAACTCCGTACTACAATAAACAATAACATGGCCAAAAAAAAACGTTTTCGAAATCACCAAAATAAAAGCCATAAATGCAATGTAACAGTGATCATAGGGACTGTGACCGAATTTTTTACAATAAACTACATAAATAAATTATAACACCAAAATCTAGAGCCATATTTTAGGCCACTGAATAGCAGTGGCAGCTAGGGGTGTACAACTCCTCTAGAGCAGTTTTGAGTGAAGATCTCTATGAACCTGTCAACTCGAGTTTGATTCCTGTTCACGGCTAACGTCAGTAATAAATATCTGAACCGGTTCTGGGCCACCCCCGAGGCCGACTCAGCCGTAAATTAGAACCTGGTGTGGTGTGTAAGCCATCAGCACTGGGGAGATAAAGGCGGTGCAGGCGTGGAACTGACAACACCCAACCCCCTTCTGTGCAGCGCCGAACATCGTAGGTTGCTTCTTTGACAGAACTTGCCCCAACATCATGCTAAGGCTATACCGGGCACATTTGTCTTTGTTAGCAGAAGTTACGGCACTTTGGCAGTTTCACTTGCAAAAGCCCAGGGCGGATTTTCCGCTCGCCCGAGCTGACTTCATCCCGCCACCTTGGCAGTCTGCGGGTGCACGTGTACGCGATGGCGCGTGTCCGCACCACCAAAGTGTCACCCCCTGCCAAATGGGATGTCGGATCGAAAGAGCCGAGTTTAAATATGGCCGCGACGCCACAGGGAGTGTTGACGTAATGCCACGTGTCGCTGGCAGGAGGGTGAATGCCTTGAGTCGAGAACAGTCGGCATCATGTTCCCCAACAACAACAACAACAAAAAACCCATGAGGGAGAGGGTGTTTTCAACCTTGAGAGCCTTAACCCATGAACACACGTTTGCAGGATTTACGCCACTCGGATGTGTTTAAAATGACGTGTGATTCACGCAGCATCGTTAGCGTTAGCACTGTGTGTATCGCCTGTGCCCTCACTCGCGACTGACCCTTTGACTCTTTGTGACTGACCTCGTACGCCAACGTGAGACTCCTTAACGGGAAGCGCAGGAATTGCCTCCGTAGTGCTTTGCATATTTTAATGGTTAATTGATGGTTATCAACTCTGCATTGCATAAGAAACTTTGAAGTCAATTGCTCACCTGCTCACAAAAGCAATGGGGTGGTACTCATCTCCATTGGTGGTCAATGGTGGGAATTTTACCACATTCCCATAGTGGTCGTCAGATTCTCCATAGGATGACCACTGTTGATGTCCTATTGGATGGTAAGCCCTAGGTCTGCTTTGCAAAAGAGTATTTGTCCAAATGGGCTTTCGTATGGTTATAAATAAAGTTTGTGATTTACATCATTAGACCTCCTTTGCCAGTACCAAAATTTAATAGTAGGGTTTTTCCACCTTTTTTCTGGCAACAAAACTGAAACCTTATTAAAAAGGATTCATGTCTGCATTAACCACAATACCTGCAGTCAAAATGCAAACAAAAAACATACTATGATAATATGTGCATTGTCCTTGAAACTGATTGATCCACACCAAGGGACGGCTTTCTTTTGAGCCTCGACCCAATTGGCGCTCGACCAGATGACGCCTTTTGGCGCCTTTTGGCGTCATCTAGTCGAGCACCAATTGGCGCCAAAAGGCGCCAAAAGGCGTCATCTAGTCGAGCACCAATTGGGTCGAGGCTCAAAAGAAAGCCGTCCCTTGGTGTGGACCAATCAGTTTCAAGGACAATGCATATATATTATTATAGTATGTTTTTTGTTTGCATTTTGACTGCAGGTATTGTGGTTAATGCAGACATGAATCCTTGTTAAAAAGGTTTCAGTTTTGTTGCCAGAAAAAAGGGGAAAAACCCTATTATTAAAGTTTGTGATTTTTTTGGACGAATGCTGACCCTGGAGCGATGGTGGACTACGTTGATCCCCAGTCGAAGTGTTAATTTGTCAAGCACCATAATTACAGTACCTGCACATTCATCATTCAGGGGGGGGGGGGGGGGTGTCGTTTCTGATCTTGATTAAACATCACAATGCGCAAACAAATAATATAACGTGTGAACATGAAAAGGAAACATTAAAATACCGCGTAGAACATAGTTGTAGGTCGCCATGGGCTGAGTGGACCCTTGTTTTTTTTTATTTTGTGTGCGCAAAAAGTACTGAAGTTCGGACAGACCTTGTGCTGCCAAGTGGGTTTCTGTGGAGCACGTATTAAACACCGGCATCGCGCAGTCCCTGGCTAAGCGGTGTGCTAGGCACATTGCCAACCCCTCCTTTGCCGTTAATCGATGCACTGAAGTGTCTCATTCCTGCAGAAGCCAATAGTCGTGCATTTGCCGCGGAGCTGTTACAGGTGGCCTCTCATTAACGTGGCACCGCCGCTGTTCTCACCCACGCTGCTTTCAAAGAGACCCAAACGTGCGTCCACGAGTGCGCCACTCTTCCATTGATTTGAAGTGCGCATTACCGCGGGCGTCCATTGGTGGACGCGGTGTCGTTTCCTGGCAGACGCGGGTGCTGAGATCGGACAGAGTCGGTCTGCAACGATGGCTGCTTGCTGATCAAACAGCCGATTGAACAGCTGGGTCACCAGGGGGTCGCACATACTTGGGACGACTGCCCAGTTGCTAATGACGGCATTCCGGTGACACTTATATGTCTGCGTTCGGCGAGCTTGCCGAAGATGCTCGGCTGACTCCAAGGAGATGTGGACCTCTCTGTGTCACAGCACGACCATGAAAGGAGCCACACGAATGATGTGACGATACGTCTGACTTATAATGCACACACAAGTCTTGAAGCGAGTCGCAAACGCAAGTCAGAGGCGTGGGGCAAAACCCAAGTGTCACTCGAGCGCTCTCTTACATATTTAATTTGATTTTTTTTATTTAAAATGAGCCCGGTACAGACCCAGAAAACCGCGATGTTGGCAGGGGCCACAGAAACTCCACGGATGCAAGTCCAAAACTCGCTGCTCCTTCGTGTAGAGGAGGGGAGAAATTGGGCTCGCTGTCCTCACCCAGGTGGGGCACCCAAGCGGGAGCTTGTACGTTTACATGGGGAGGGGAAGTTAAGGGAGGAGGAGGGGGGGCTACGGGGAAGGGGGGGGGGGGGCTCTCCTGCTTCCTGAAGAGTGTGGTGGACCGCTCGCTCGTTGCGTATATCCGCAGGAAGCTCATTCTACATAAGCGAGATAGAAAGGCGACATTCGGCGAGTGCACGTTTTGCAGCGGTGTCGTCATCAGTTTCTCGTGATTTTGCTCGGTGTGCAGTTCTTGCAAAGATTGGAAGATTATCAATAACCAGTCCTTGGGGTTGTGGTGATTAGTGCCTGATAATGTACTCACGGGGATTAATCAACAGGAAGGTTTTCTTCACATGTGAAATATTAATAGAGCAGAGATCCATATTTAGAAAACAAGTATAATTGACCGATTCCATGTGGTGTGCGAGAACAGGCGTAAGTTCGGAAAGAGAGTTGAATTATGAACGGTTCATTTATCTGGGAAAGTTGGAAAAAATTGGTGCATATTGGACGAACTCTCTCCAATTTGTAAAACGCTTTCTCAGACAATAAGTCAAAATAGTTGAACGGTTTGCTCTTTCTGTGTTGTAGAATGGCCATTTTCTCGAAATGTTAACTTACCCTTAATAGTGAAAGCGACAAGGTTGTTTTGACCTATTTATATGCGCCTACCTTCATGTCGAGCATGCCAGAAGTCTTTGCTCGAACTTGGCATTACAGGGGGCACTAAGCTCCATTTAGTGCCCCGTTGTGTGTGGTGGAAGTTCCAAATTCTCATGGCAGAGAATCAGAATAGCCGCAGAAATTACCACTGTTAACTTCCTACAAAGTAGTACTCACGTGTACTTCGGGTTACTTTGGTAGTTTTTTTTATGGTGGTTTTAAAACCGCCCCGGCAAGTTCTGCCAGTGTAAACTCTAGTTTCGTTGCAAAGTATTTGATTCTTTGTCTCTGTGTATCTCCACTTCACCACCTGACAGTACTCGGCGGGAATGAGGCATTCCAGTGAGCCCTCACACGGCAGACGGGAGTTCCAGACACACTGGCAGGTAGGCGCACACTCCACCGAGCAGCAACATTCTCATGTTTTGATGTTGTCAATTTCCCCAATTTTACCTCACCTGTGCCGTTGAAGTCAATGCAGACGAAGTATCCATTCAGATCTTTAAATCAAGCTGCGCAATCCGCTGTGCGAGAGAACGGCTCACAAAGGCGGATATCACAGTTATGGCTCTGGTTGGTAGTGTGTACACTAAAACCATTCAGCAAAACTGGCTGTCGTGCTGTTAATGTAACGCATGAGGTGCTGGCTGGCTGTTTTTTCCTTCCCCCTTTTTGAGAAAATCAAAGCCTGCACAAAATTGCCGATTGAGGCATTATCGCCGGCTGTATGCCGAGCTCCGGTAGCGTGTGCACAGCTTGGCTCTCACATTTTTAATTTGTGCAGTAAATTCACATTGATCTGGAAAACATTTCGTGCACCCAGAGGGCTCGCGGTAAAATTCGTGGGATTAGACTCTCGCGATTCGCGTCGGGCTACAATTCCTTGCGTGGCAACGGCGTCGTTGCAGAAATAAGCGCCTCTCGGAATAAAATGCATCAATCTCAGTTGCGCGATATGAGTACAGATGTACGGCCACGTTGCAACCACTCATTATGGCGCGGAGATGTTATTGGGTCAGAGCGGAGCGTTATGGAACTAAATGGGACGTGCCTTGATGTGCTCGTTCATTACGCAGTCTGTGCCGTTGCGTGCGTGCGTGTGCTCCGCTGGGAATTGATTCACGCGCGCTGAGTGTGGCCAATCATCGAGTGTCGACGTATTTCAGCGCTGCAAGATGGAGCACAAGCTTCGGCTAATGGGCATTGCGCCCGAGTGCGGGACGGTGGGGGCGGGGTAGATTGATGGGACTGTAGTTATGCCCGACCAACATAACTACCCTGGTACGGATCCCTCGGTGCCAAGTCCAGTGCACAAGGTGGGCGTCGTCCACACCTACTCACTCATTGCTAGCGAGCAGCGCACAGTGGCAGTGTCAGATGCGAAGAACTCCCAAAGGAGATGGGGATTGCCTCAGTTGCCCAACACAAATTCTCCGCGCAGTGCGCAGTGTCCTCAAAGCAAACTGCCGGCGAGTGGCTGCATTCGAATGACTGCCGTGAGCTTCAAGCATCGCAGCATATGCAAATGGGATCAGGAATGCACACTCGCCGTGAATGGTCAAATTCCAACCACTTAACAGTTTGTGACACCGCAATAAGCACGATCTATGGTGTGTTACCATATTTTCTGTAAAGCTTTTCAAACGTCTAATGAAATGTAAACAAAAAAAATCCAATCTACATTGCAATGGCGTCAATAGGATATTATATGTATGCACAAGTGCATACCAACAACGATATATATTTTTACTGCAGCCATCACGAATAGAAATGTACTCCAGCTGTGCGGTTAATGAATAAAGATTGGGTGGCAAGGTGACGGTCGTCGACTCTGGCTTGGTGGAGACCAGTCCAAACAATTGATGACAAATATTCAACTCTCACAGAGTGGTTGTATTATCGTGGTCTGACTTGACCCTGGACAAGGATTTGAACATGCACTTGAAGAAGTTACCACATTTATACTGTGTTCACATTTACCATGGCACTCATGCATATGTGTGTGCGTGTGTGTGTGTATAATTGCGAGATGCGTATAGTATTGCTTCAAGTTCTTGACAGATCGATGCATAATATTCATCCTCAATCAGCCATTATCAATTCACTTCTGTATGAAGACCTTCCCAAGCCATTGCCATATTTCACCGATCCTGTGATGTAGCGATCCACTGAGCACTCGCACCCTGGCTGATTCCATGACTCCATCTCCCCGTGCATGTCTTCTCAGATATGCTCCGTTCCTGAGCTGACATTTCAGCGGGTGCATAACATTACATCTTACAATCTAAATTGCAATTATAACATATACTGTCGGGTGCCTGCTGTTTACCAAATTGATCATTGAACCACGGGTACGGTGAAATTAATCAACCTGCCGAGTGGCGAGCGACCTTTACTAACCATCAATCTCCTCTTCGGTTAACACCATATGCAAGTCTTTAAGCGAAGAGGAAATATTCACGTTTAATAAACTCGTTCTCATAGCTCCATGACCACGATAGAGGAGCAAGCAGGCTCTGGAGGATGGTTTCTGAGGTTTTTTGCCAGCATGTCTACCTACTCGTGTGTTGGCTGTGCTTTGTAAATGGTGGTAAAAGTACTGTGATGTATTATGCATGGGAGGGACATGACATTCAGAGTCGAATTAATCCTCACGAGCGACCGTGGTCCATAGGTGTTTTACGGGAACGCGCATCCACTGCTCTTTCCTAATGTCATCGGGAACATCCGCAGTTTTGCATCAGCAGCAATGGAAAGGGAATTTTGATCAGCCGTGTTGGCCTTGGGAACTTCATCATTCACGTCCACCTCGGCTGTCTTGTTGAGCATAGCTCTTTTCACAGCCGTCATCGCTGTTCAGACGTCCACTGCTCGCGCAGTACACAGGTGGCAGTGATCGTAGGACACTGCGGTAGGTGTTGGTGTATGACGTGATCTTAACACTTTCTGCCAGGTGAGAGACGTAAACCGTTGCGCAACACATCCCTGACACAAATGGGCTGTGACGGGGTTAATGTGGGTGTATTGGAGACATCTGGTGGTGTTAAAAATAAATGGCTCACGCTTTTGTATATCGCATGATAGGTCCGGCGTCTGCTTTTTTGTTGTGCGCATTATTTCGCCCAGCATTAGGTTTAGCGTCTGTCAACATCTAGCTTTGTGCGTTTTAATTCTGGGAATTACCTGCAATCTCTCTCAGCGGACATTGGGGTAACGACCACACCTGGTACTGCAAGATGTGGAAGCTAATCGCACGTTCCCATTTACAAACCCCACAGCAATGACGAAGCGGGCACGGATTTTACTCCTGGCTGGTAAAGATGGCCCGCCTCTATTGAGGACACGTCGTATGTCAGCCATGTTATTTTTACATCACTTAATGTGTTAATTGGATAACTTAAGCATACTTTTTTTTTACGCAGTCTCTCTTATCAACTTTAAATACTCACAGTATCCATTTATAGAAGTTGATAATGTTCTATTTTGCAGAAACAAAATGCGAACTACGTGTTAAAATGTGACGGGTAAAATACCCAAACCATCGATTATTAAAAAATGTGAATCTTTCAAAGGGATGCAGCTAGCAGCAGCACTGCAGTTCTTCAGCCACTGACAATGCCTCATTAGAGTTAATCTGCCATAATTTAGTACTAAACAGCCATTTACGGGCGCTCTAATCCCATTTTAATAAGCCATCACTCAGCGTGCAAGCAGGATAATTCGCGTGGCAGGGAGAAGAAGCCCCTTGTGTTTGGCCAGTTCGATGCGATTGAGTTCGCATTCGCCCCATCGAGTGATTCGGCGCTCGGTCCACACCCTGGCCCAGCCTTTAATTTACCTTGAAATGCCTTTTATTGCTGCCTGTCGTCCATACTGGCAGATGAAGTGGCACAATGGAAATTGGTAAATTGCTTTTTGAAGCCTCCAGCCATGAGTAGATGGATGCGTGTTATGCAGGGTGACAACAGCCACTCAGTGTAGCCTTCAGCCTGTCATCGCTGACATGAGTGCAACACTCGTCAACTCCTGTTGCCTGGTGATTATTATTCTGTTGCTTGTTCAATTGGATTCAAATATGTGCCGCGGCGAGCTCTCCGAGTGGCTGCTGCCTTGCACGCTTGCCTCGGCCACCACGGTACGGCGGACTGGCTGTGGTGCTGGACGTGGTCTGCAATGCGTAACAGTTGCTGTTGTGCTGCGAATGAGAGGAGGCGGATGCCTGTAGTCTTCACTGCCCAGTGCACTGACTTGTGCAGTAAATGCTACAAAACAGCACAGGCCTCTGTACCCTGTCAGGACTCGCACAAATATTTCGGTTATTGTGAAGTAATAAAACAAATCCATGAGGGCCCAAGTAGCAGCAGGGACACTGTCAGAACCTTCTGTAACCGCACCTCTGATGAGCACGGTTGGCTACGTACTGTGCAAAAGAAGTTCAACATGCAGTACCAATGGGACCACGCGTTTTGTTGTTGAGCATTGTAGGCCTTTTTGGTCATGCTCCTTTAAGTGTCCGTCTTACATCGTGTCAACGCTTTCTTCTTATGCAGTGCGTCCACGCGGTTGATTCAGTCCCCTATTATTGTTTGTGCTGAACAGTCAATTGGAGCTGGGCTTGCAAAACAAAACTTTGGAAATAGATTTTCTTTTTGCGCGTGCAATTATTAATCCGTGAGCTGCTCGAGCCAATCAGACTCGCTACGCACAAACGACCTGCTCGAATCTCAGGTGGTAAGCCCCCCCCGGATTGTATCCCACGATCTCAGCGGTGCTGGCTCAGTGCTGGCTCAGTGCTCACACGTGGCCAGTATGAGTCGACCCCGAGCCGTCCGGGGACCGCTGCTGCGAAAAAAACCAATTCTGTCGCGCTGCAGACTTGGCACGTTTTCAGTTTAACACGTAGGCTTTCGCGACCAATATTATTCATAATAAAGGTTTTTGGGTTAGATCGCGTTTATTTATAAATGTGTCGTAACCCTCCACCACCCGACACGGCCAATCAGCAAAGAAAAGTGTCACGTTGACAAAAGACAAATAATTCACTACTTCAGCCCACCGGTGTGTTGAAGAGTTAATCCACATTTACAGTTTGAGTACGACGTTTCGCTGGTAAATACTTCCAGCATCATCGGGCAATTCGCCAGAATGGTAAAGCCCTCGCTTGCTCCCGGTTTTATATAGAGCAGAAGAGTGACGTCATCACTTTTGTGGAAGTTTAGAGTCGTGGGACGCGCTGCTGGCTGGAGTGCACGGGGGTTCGTACGGTGCGTGCCCTTGTGCGACCGCCAGTCGCGTCACCCAGGAGGGGGCGTGCCTATCCACTCGCACAAATACAATAAAGATTCCGCACCCCCTTGTCATAACCTTAACGGACTGTCGGGGCGAG